CAGGACAGCACGGGCGGGAGACATCGGGTCAGAGAGCCATACTGCGTGTGTCAGTTGTCGGAGCCAAGCTTGTCTGCACAGCCCAGGCCATGGGTGAGCCTCTGCAGGACTGCAGAGAGGAGTCCTGGGGCCGGGGAGGTGCACAGAGAGCAGGCAACTAGGAGGAGCCGGGGAAAGAGATGGGGAAGGAGCAGCCAGGTAGGGAGAAGGAAAGCCAGGAGTAGGGCCGTCCTGGAAGTCAAGGGAAGAAAGCATTTCAAGACCAAGGGAGCGTTCAGTTATAACAAACACGCTGACAGTTCAGGTGAGGACGGCCCGTTGGATGCGGCAAAATGGACATCATGGGTGACCTTGCCAGAAATAGTTTCAGTGCCGCTCAACTAGGAAGGCCTGAAGGGGCTGTGAGAGAGGAAGAATTAGAAGGATCTGGACAACTCTTCAGTATTTTTTTTTTTTTTCTAACAGGAACAGATGGTGGTTGGACTGAGAACATAGGGTCAAGGGAGTTTGTTGATTTTTGTTTGTTTTAAGAAGGAACTGTTGCAACGAGCTTGCTTGTTGATGGCAACAACCCATTGGAAAGAGAAAAACTGATGATGCGAGAGGGAAAGGGATCAGCTGCTGGGGGGATGTGCTTAAAAGGTACCAGTGGAGGTGATGCCATGGGCCCCCGTGGAGGGGCTAGCAGTGTGTCGGGACCTCCGCGGCGACAGGAAGGGGCTGGTGCACAGGTTCACCCGGGGAGGTTGGCAGATGACGTGGTGGCAGGAGTGCAGCACAGGGGAGAGGGAGCAAAGTTATTGACCATGACTGAGAGGGAAGAGCTGGGGAGCTGGAGACTGGTAGGAGTTTTTCAGTGGCTAGTCTCATGCAAATGCAATAGGATTGTGAACAATGGGTTCTCTCTCTCTCTCTCTCTCTCTCTCTCTCTCACACACACACACACACACACACACACACACACTTACACACCCAGAAACCATGAGGGGTTGTGAAAGGAGGTGTTTGTAGCTCTCAGAGGTATGATAAAACTGTCAGCTCTAAGGCAGCCCCATTATTGTGAAGAGCACTGTGTACGTTTTGATCCTAAAGTGACTTCTGCATTTGTTCTGCATCGGTGTATTATATCGTGCCCCCCTCCCCCATCAAACCAGGGAATAAAATGAAGAAAAATGATGTGAGCATCAGGGAAGGAGGCAGCAACACAATCACAAAACTAGGAGTGTGTGTCTGGTGTTGTTCTCTTATTCCCCCAAACCCTTGCGTCTATAAAATAGAGAACCTCGTACACATTCCCCCACTGTCCAACAAGTAGAGGGTACCTATTTGGTATGAATTGTTAGATGCATTTTGGGGGCCTGGGAACTCGGTTACTATTAATTAATATGGGATAATTTTTGAGCATTTCCAGATTCAAAAAATAGTCTACCAAATCACACCAAAGGAGAACACTTTACTTTCAGACAGCAGGGGAAACCTTTGCTGGAGAGGTCATTGTGAATGATGATCTTTTACCTTCCCCTTACAGTTTATGTCCTGGAATGGTATAAATCTCAAGAGGGCCCATTTGGGACAAACAGACTCTTATTGCATCTAATTCAAGTACAAGGAAATTGCTGGGGACAGGCAGCAGTCAGGTGTGAACAATGGTCACCAATACAGGTGGGAGTGCTGAATCTTCCTGGGAAGGCTTCCTAATTATGTGATTCAACACCTAGATAAAAGACTTTTTTTAAGCACAAATAGATTTTTTCTATAATAGCTGTTCCTTTTCTCAGGCATCCTGGGCAGAGAGCCAAAGGACAAGGGACTATGTCCCAGTGACCCAAGCAATGTGGAACACTGTGTGCTCAGAAAGGCAGCCCAGGTTCTTGAGCTCATGACTGTCCAGAGCAGGGGGCAGGTAGTGGGCCGAGGATGGGATATGGGCAAAGAGTTGCTGCACCTGGGCCCAACTCCAGTCTGTTGTAAATGGCTCCCCATGGACCATGAGCCTAGCAAGGAAGGATTTTGAGTCTTGGTGAGAAAAACCATGGGGATTGATTAATGATGTCTGCTGTGTGCATGGAAGTAGAGAGTGGTGGTACACATGCCATATTGCAGCCACTGTCATGTGACTTAAGAAATCATATCAGGGCCTCCCCGGTGGCGCAGCGGTTGAGCGCTGGGTTGCGAAGCTGCCCACAGCCTCTGCAGCGCCCGTTCGATCCCCAGCTGCTCTCCGGCCACCGGAGGAGGGTCCCCCATGGCGCGCAGACCTCTCCTGCTGCCCGCTGCTCCCCTCAGCAGTGTACTTCGGTCCTTCTGCCTGCTCTGCTCCCTGCTCTGGCTCTGGTGAATTCTCTCACCCTCCCTTGCTTCTGACTGTACCCAGTGCATGTATAAACAAAACAAACAAACAAACAAACAAATAAATAAATAAAACATGCCTCTATTAAAAAATAAAATAAAAAAATAAAGTGGGTTGTGTTTAAAAAAAAAAAAAAAAGAAATCATATCAATAGGAATGTTGGGAATGTGCCTCTAAGACATCAGGGCAGAATTTATGTCAGTAGACCTTTGCCAGAGGATAAATCCAAATCCTGTCTCCATATTTGTCCATATGACCTTGGGCAAATAATTACTTTTCTTGGAGCTGCTGTTGCTCCTTCTCCTCTTCCTTTTCCTCCTTCATCTTTACAATGGGAGGAATAGTTGCTGTGCCATTGGTAGTTTGAAGGATAAAAGGACTATTAAATCCTTCTGTGTACCATGTCTCCCTAGGCCCAAGACATCATCAACATGGTAACAATTATTTCTATTATTAGGTTTTGGTATACTGTAAACTATGTGCCAGGACCCTGCTTGGTGCTTTTATGTTATTTATTTCTTATAATGGCTCTGAAAGTTAAGTACTAATCACTCTCTCCATTTTTTAAAGAGGGGGAACAGTTTCACAGGGAGGAGATGACTCACTCCTTGCAACACAGGCAGTGGGAATGGATCCAGGGTACAAGCCAGGCTGGAGAGATCCTCAAGCCAATGTTTTTCATCCCCCCATTCCTGGTTTCTTAACACTGCCAGCCTAGGGACCCAGTTTCCTGAGGTCAAGTCCTAGTTTCTTTGAAGACCTACTGTGTGTCCTGAGTCACATCTCTATTTGGAACTCACCTGAACTCATATCTGAAAAGAGAGAGAATAGAACCGTGTCTTTTGGACTATGTTCCTTACAGTCCCAGGGACTCCGTGGAATTTCTCCAAGGAGGGAAGCCAAACCTGGAGCAGGGAAGAGTTGGATCCCTCACCTCACTCAAAGCTGAGTTCTCTCTCCTTTGCTCTGCTGCCCATGTCAGGATTCTAATTAAATCCTAGGAGTCCTGATGCTTAAAAGAAATTTGGAAACCATCTCTTCAGATGATAGTGGTTGTCATTCGTGCAGCATCTATTATATGCCAAGTTCTTCACATATGCTATCCCCCACCCTCAGTAACAAAATTCCAAAGTGGACATTATGATCTACACATTTCAGAAAAGAAAACAGGTTCAGAGAGTTTTACTCTAAGGCCCAAGGTCACCTTGGCAGTTGTGCGTGTGGATGCAGGGATTCTAACTCAGACCTGTCTGATTTTGCAGTCTGTGGTTAAAGCTTCAGGCTGCTCCACTGTATCTCTTGTTGGAGGTGGTTTGTAATTAGTTTCATTGTTATTTTGAGAAAAGACATTCCCTGGGAGTAACAGTGCAAATAAGGGCGGAAGTGAGCCAAGGGGGTTTGGATTCCTCACCAGTGCATCTCTATAGCCGACAAGGGCAGCAACCTGTTTTAACAAGCCACCCTCTTGTTCTTTGAGAACTATTCAAACAGAGTGAGCATCAGTCGCAATGCAGACCTGAAAACAAGATTTCACCAGCCGAGACCGCATGCCCAGAAAACTTTTTTAGTCTTTCGGGAGCATCGCTGGCAAACATAATTTGAAAATCTTTCTCCTTAACACTCTTTCTCCTGTCAGAGAATAGGCATCTCATGCATATTTCATCCTGTTTCTTTTTAATTAAAAGCTATTATATATTTATTTTTCAATGGCGATAGAGGGAGGAAATGTAAGCATTCATTCAATAAACATTTGTTATGCTGTCTATGTGCCAGCCCTGTTATGGGTACTGGGAACATGCAAAGATGTTTAAGCCATAATCCCACCCCTCAAGGGGGTTACAATCAGTTGTTGGGGAGAGAATAGATATGTAAATAAGCAAGTATAATGAGGGGTATCAAGTGCTGAGAAGGAGGAAGCATATTCATTTGAGAGGGGGATTACTAACCAGTGCCTACTGAGTCAAAATCAGCATATGTTGGGCCTTCCCAGTGACACAGGGGGTTGAGCACAGTGCTTTGAAGCTGTCTGCAGCCTCTGCAGTGCGGGTTCGATTCCCAGCCAGCCAGGGAGATACCCACATGGCGCAGCAGACCTCTCCTGTCTCACCCGCTGCTCCCCTCAGCAGTGCTTTCGGTCCATCTGCCTGTTCTGTTCCCCACTCTGTCTCTGGTGAATCCTCTCACCCTTCCGCGCATCTGGCCTGTACCTCAGCTCTTGTATAAATAAATAAAATCTTTTTTTTAAAAAAAAAAAAGACTGCATTAAAAAAAATCAGCATATGCTGAGGCCCCCATAAAAATTGAACTGTGGCCAAGGATCATCGACATGTTTCACATAAAAATCTAGATTCAGAACACCTCATGAGAAATCAGAAGATTTGGCTACACCAGGCATGCATTTTCATTCAACCACCACCAATTGGAGCTTAGAGACCACTCTGTCCTGATTCAGTTATCTACTTTGCCTCAGTCCCCACTATTCCCTATTGAACTATATGCCTGACCTCTAGGTACATTTATGCTGCCTCTTCCTGAGATCTAGAGGGTTTGATTGTGTGACATTTTATAGGTAAACTTTAGATCTATCTATCTAAACTTCTCTTCAGGATGGTATTTCCACATAAAATCTGAGGATACAGAATTTTTCTTGAAGCACCCAAATAATTCAAGAGGTGAGGGAAAAACAACATTTTTATGCCTGTTATCTGACAGATTGCCTGCATGTTTGTCCAACTTTCCTCTGGGTCTGCTCTTTCAGCATGGAGACATGAGCAGACACAGCCTCACTCAATTCCAAATAAATTACCTTCCATCTAGTCGATTGCACTGTTGCAAGAACGATGGAATTTTCTTTTGCTTCACAAAGTGTTTCCTCAAAGTTTGGCTTTGATTTGCCTTCCCAAGGCTTCACAGCCTCCCAGCTTCTTCAGAGCTGCTTCTTTGATGAAAGTGTTCAGTCTATCTGGCTTCCATTTTGCTGAGTGTGTTGGGAGCCTGTGGGGAGAGAGGTCTTGCTGGAAAATGAGAAAAGCATTTCAACCCATGTGACTTGAATTTTAGGACAGTTCTAAGGCTCCAGATTTGCAGTGGGCATCAGAGGGGCTGAGCAGATCCCAGGGATCCAGATGGGAAGCCCTCCCCATATCCCAGATCTCAAAACCAAGGACCAGAGAGGGAAGGAGACTTTTCCAAACCTTGACACCTTTATCTGTAAAATAGGAAGGGGAGTGAGCCCGCGGGGTCAGCAGAGGGCAGGATCCCAGCCCCACTCTGCCTGGGGCAGCTCATGCACTGTTCTCGGCGGCACCGACCCTGAAGAAATACCAAGACTCAGGCTCAGTCTGAGGGCAAGAGGCTGCAGACATGGGGACAAAGAGAACTAAGATTTAACAACCTACTGTCTACGCCTCTTGATATCCTTATAAGAAGGCTCAACTATGATCCCCAGTTTAGAGATGGGAAAACTGAGGCTCAGAGAAGCAAAGCAACCTGTTTCATAACCATGAAGCCAGCTCTGTCTGATTCCACTAGGTCAGAGGTCACAAAGCTTTTTTTTTGACAATGGGCCAGGTGGTAAATTATTTTTCCTTTATTGAGGTAACATTGGTTTACAACTCTGTACATGATATCGGGGACTATGATCACACCTTTTCAGACGGATGTTACCACCCCACCCCACCCCCACCTTCCAGCACCCATAACCGGTTACCCTAGACCATTGGGCCCCTCCCACCTTTGTCCATCACCCCACTCCCCGCCTCAATTCTGCAGTCGTATTTCTAGGGTATCCACAAGGAGTCAGCTCTATGGGTGCGGCCTAGAAGCAGCCACTTATAACACCTAAATGAAAGGGTATGACTGCTTTCCAGTGAAACTGTATTTATTTCACTGGGCCACAGGCTATAGCTTGCACCCTACATGCTCCTTCCCCTGAGGCTGATTCATAAACATGACCCTGTATTACAAAGCATGTACTATGCATGAGGAGTTGGGCTGCATTTTTTGTATATGTGCTGCCGAAGCAAACACTTGTGCTGCCGAAGCAAACACGTTGGGCTGCATTTTTTGGACATTATGTTATTCGTCCCATTTTTCTGATGGGAAAACAGAGGTTCCTCAAAACCTGTGTGCTACGCATACCAACACTCAGCAAACCCTGCATGAGCTCCTCACACATATGGCACCCAGCCAGCACCAGAGCCAGCACAGCCAGTGCCACAGCCACAGCCACAGCTACAGCCAGCACCAGAGCCAGCCAGTGCCAGAGCCAGCCAGCACCAGAGCCAGCACAGCCAGTGCCAGACCCAGTGCCAGGGCCACAGCCACAGCCAGGGCCACAGCCACAGCCATGGGAAATGTCTGGTCACATGTTTCCACCACCATTCAGTGGCTTCTCACATCTTCCTCTACAAAAGAACTAAATAAGGAGACCAGGGCCTCCCCAGTGGCGCAGCGGTTGAGCGCTGGGTTGCGAAGCTGCCTGCAGCCTCTGCAGCTCCAGTTCGATCCCCGGCTGCTCTGCGGCCACCGGAGGAGGGTCCCACATGGCGTGCAGACCTCTCCTGCCGCCCGCTGCTCCCCTCAGCAGTGTACTTCGGTCCTTCTGCCTGCTCTGCTCCCTGCTCTGGCTCTGGTGAATTCTCTCACCCTCCCGCGCTTCTGACTGTACCCAGTGCTTGTATAAATAAATAAACAAATAAATCTTAAAAAAAAGTATTTAAAAAACAAACAAACAAACAAACAAATAAATAAATAAATAAGGAGACCAGAGTTTGCAAAGCTTGGGACATCAAATAAAGCACATGATGCTTCCTTGCCTCCCACAGAAAGCACAAGAAAATATAATGCAATGACATTAGTTTGCATTCACTCCCAGGTCAATTTCTCTGCTGGGGGAAAGGCTGAGACCTGGGGTAAGTCGGGGCCAGGGGATTTCTGAGCTGTTACTCAAGGACAGAGATATGCTGCCTGAGAAGCTTCCCCTGCCTCCAAACAAACAGGAGGTGATGGGTGTCACCACCTCCCAGGAGCGGTGAGGACACGCCTTGCTCCCTGGAAATAAATGAAAGCAGTGGAGAGGAAGGCCTATAAGGCAGTGCCAAGTGGCTCCTCCACTCCCAATGTCTCCCAGGCTTCTGTCATGACTGTTACTGTTCTGTCATGACTTCTATGAATAACACAGAGGCATCCTCAACCATTAACACAATAGTGTGAATTAGAGCACTGAGCAGAAACAGTACTGGAAACTGCTGTGACTTTCGCACCTTGTCAGCTGCAGTGACAGGCACATTGCATTTTCCTCTGCAGAATGGAGCAGCTCCACCGGAGCAGAGGTTCCAGGCAGTCCGAGCCAGCAGAAGCTCAAGATGTATTTTTACCCCTGTTAAACATTTTCCTTATGTTTTAATTGGGATGATTCATTTTTTAATAATTAAAAATGTTAATAAATTTAACAATGTGTCTAAATATATTTAAATGTGTTTCATATTTAAATGTCATGATTATTCAAATATTAATAATAAAATTGAACAATAAGTTTTAATCTGGCATACTGAAGCTTTAATATTTTCATCGGGATAATTAAGTTAAATCATAAGGGTTTGCCCCAGACCCCAGCATTCTCTGATGTCAGGTATCTGACGCCTCTAGTTAATAACCACCGCCTGGATCCTGCAGTTATTTGATTTCGACACTGGATTGTAAACATCACTCTGGATTTTGATGCAGTGTGAGGAGGCTGAAAGCTGAACCCCAAAGGGGTGGGACTCTGGTCAGGTAAATATTGATGAAGGGGAAGCAGAACATTTACACAAACAAAGCGTATCTGGCAAATATGGGGTGAGTGAGAAACCGTGAGGTGTCGGGGGACAGGAAGTGCCTCTTCTCCTGTGAAATTTTAGTATCTTCACTTTGACACAGCTTATATACCTAATCAAGAACCCAGGGGTATAGTCAGTGTTCAAATCCAATCCCAACCCTGTTCCCCCGGGCAGCTTATTAAATCCCTCACAGGTCCTTAAATAATGTCAACGGTAGCTATTTCTTCCAAGGTTTTGCAGGTTGTTTTGTTTTGTTTTGTTTTTACTTCTTGTACAAGGCAAGACATCTCTACATACATTTCTCTCCACTCCACAAACAAGGTAGACACTGCTTTCCCCACAGACCCGTAGATTGTAGGAAGCTACAACTAACCAGGGGCAGGAAGGTTCCAAGATCCCCCCAACCCTCAGAACCCATACACCTTCCCTGTTGCCATGACACTCCCAGGCCCACCAATCAGGCTGGGCAGTTGAGGACACTCGCCCGCCAAGGAGAGTGTGAGGATTGATTTCCAGGGGCCACCTGGATGAGAACTGTGCTCAGTGCGCCTGGATCCCAGCTGATTACACTTTAGCTTTTTATTCTAGAAGATTCTTGCTCATGAAGAAAGTGTATTTCCTTTTCCTGGCAAATTCTAGGCCATGAAGAAGCTGCCAGGAGGAATCCACTTCCTGCCAACCCCTCGATTTAGTAAGTCATTCTGGAGTTGCTCACTGCTGCCCACGGACCTGGGAGGGGGCCGGGGTGCTCATGATGTTGTCAGGGTCCTTCCCTCCCAATGGGTCACTTCCCGAGCTTGTTTCTGCACAGTGGAGGGAGCAGGGTCTACCCTGAAAGTAAGATGAGGGAGTCCTGCTAAGTCAACTCCTCACAATCCAACTCCAACAACGACGAAGGAGGGGCCCAGTGCATGATGGAAATGGAAAGTCACTTCCAAAAATCGTTCCCAAAAGGAATTACAGAGCAGCTATTGGCGCATTCAGAAGAAGGGGATGGAAATTAGGCCGGGACGTGTAGGGGGGAGAAAAATATCACGCAGAGCTTCCCTCGGCTGTACATTATCCTAGTTGATCCGAGTGGCTTTGCTTTTCCTTTTTTATTATCATTATTATTATATTATCATTACCACTCTTCTCCCCATTGAGTTTCATGGCCTGTTATAAGGGGTTTTCCTCTGGAATAAAACAAGACATAAATTTTCTGAACATTTTCCTCCGGCAGCCTGAAAGCACAGTGATCCCTCTCCTGGCAGGACTGACTCCTCGCGGGTAAGAGAACTGGGGAGTGAGCCAGGAAATGCAACAAAGTGGGCCTTGGTCCCCACACATGAAAAAGTAGGGGTTCTCACTTCACTTTTTCTTTTTATTTCTTTGAAGCCTCAGAATCATGATTTCATTTCAGTCTCAAGTCAGCTCTGGAAGGTAGCAAGGACAGCAGTGAACTTTCCTATTGCGTAGGTGGAAAAAGGAGGCTCAAGGTGGTGGCGTAAGTTTGCCCAAGAGCACACGGCAAGCCCCAGCCAGAGCAGGATGCACCAGGATCTTCTGACCCTTCATCTCCCTGCCTACCGCCTTCCTCCACCTCCCCTCCTGCAGGTGGAAGGGGGAGCCTGTTCCTTTCCCAGCCAGGACCCCAGCCCCTAGATCCAAAAGATGGAAAATAGAGGTCACTGCTCTACAGCTTTCTCCCAAAGAAAATGAAAAAAAAAAAAAAATGATCACACAGAGCTTTCCTGTTCCTGTCCTTCCCCAGCTTTCCATGGCTTTCTCCCTCATTCACTGTGTTTCTCTGTGTGTTTTACTTCCTCTCTCCTCTCTGTCTCTCTCTGTCTCTTTCTCTCTCTGTGTCTCTCTGTCTCTCTCTCACTTGCTCACTCGCACACACGTTTTCTCTTCTTCCCCAAGTGTTATCCAGAAGATAAAGGCAGCTCTTTTACTCCTAACCGGTGGAAGCCCTTGATCTGGAAGGTGTTAAATTTTCCACTGCCTTGTTCATTTTCAAGGTAAGTTTCATGTCTCTTTGTTCCCTCCATTTGATACCATAATTGGGGCATTTTTCTGATTCCTTAATTCAGCAACTCGATTTTGGAAATGTTCATTCCATTGTCCCTCCAGGCCTCATTTCCCATGCTTCTCCCCTCTGCTTTCATTCCACACCTGGCTCCTATAATATCATCCCTTCCTTCAGTGCGAATCAAAATAGGTTTCTTTAAATTGTCCTAACAATTGATATTCTTCACCAAAAAAAAAAAAAAAAATTTAATGATTCGAAATATCTTTGGATCCTTTTTAAGCTGTTTGCAACATGATCACTGCTATAGTCAAAAAGACTGTCTGCAACCCCTCCTCCCCCCACCACCATTCAGGGACAGAGAAATAAGGTAAGAAACGGAGACAAGATGATTATATAAAGGCTGTGTTTCTTGTCTTTGTTCCTCAGGTTTTCTATCAAATATTAGCAACTTCCCTCAAGGCGGAAAAGAGGAAAAAAAGATCTCAGATGGAAACAGCGAGCATCACCAAGCAGACACTCTCTCAGCTTCTGGATTCACGTCACCCTACTCAGCAAGAGTCAGCACTGGACTCTGTGCTTAGGTCTCAGGCAAAACTGGGTTCAAATCCTAGCACTGCCACTTAAAGGCTATGTGAACTTGAACTCTGATTTCATCTCTCTGGCCTTAGGATCCTCCCCCCTTGTCATGGCATTGTGGGGAAGGTTTTTTTAAAGAGAGTTGTGAGAATCAGTTATCAGTGAGGATCAGGCACTGACTAGTAATGTCTACTACCTGTCCGACGGGATATTTTTGCTCTTCCCTCATTACAGTTCAGCCAGGGTCAGTGGGATAATTAGGACTATTGAATAGCTACAGATACAAAGGACCAGAGAGGTGCAGCAACTTGCTCAAGGTCACACAGCATGCCCACATCTGTGTTCTTAATCACGTGAACGTGTTATGATGTCGTGCCTTACACTTAGCATTACTTAGGAAAATTTTGTTCTTGCTTTGATCTCAAAGAGGAAGGATGCTGCTAAGATGAGGGATCAGCCTCAGTGGGTAGCATAATAAGTCTGCCCTCTCCAGAGGCCTCTAGAATAAAGGCCGCTTTAATTAGTAGGATGGTTTTCTTTGGGGCCAAAATAAAGAGACAATAAAGCAAGTCCCAGAGAGAACAAGCGCGTGGACCCAAGCCAAGCACTTCGTCCTGACACCGGGGAGATTAATGGCCTGTAAAGTGGTGCAGCGACCATTAGGTTCAGCCTGCGGCTTCTGGAAGGCAGTCAACCCACGGTGGTTTTGGAGTTTCTGATTGCAGGAGGGTCAAATCTGCCCCCCTAATGCCTCATCCAGTTGGCTATGATCATGGAAGCCTCATCTGACCAGGATTGGCAGTCCCTACTCAACAGCAGGATCCAGAAACCTCAGTGGCTTCTGATCCCAGGTGCCCAAAAGGAAATCTGTTGCTTCCATGTCTGTTACATTGTATTGCCTGGCTTTTATCTTGTTTTGGTCTCTGGACTGTTTACACTCTTCAGCATGATTAAAGATGCCCCCTGCAAGAACTTTTGAATATGTCAATTATGTCAATAAGAATTATCATATTAGAAATGAAAACCAAAACATTTAAAAATATTTCTTAGTTTACAGTAATAATAACAAGCCCATTGTGAGTTACCTACATAGCATAGTCTAGTGAAAAATAACCACATTTTTGCACAATGATGAGAAATACTGGGAAGAGTAGTGTTGACAGTGGCATGGAGATGATGGTGGTGGTGGTGGTGGTGGGGATTGTGATGATGAAATGATGGTGGTGATGATGTGATGATGATGGTGGTGGTGGTGGTGATGGACATTTTCACATGCCAGGCCCTGTCTGCCATCATATTCAATCTTTACTACAACTCCATAAGGTATCACTGGGGACAAAAGATGTTGAGTATCTGGATTGAAACCCAGGCAGTCAAGCTTCAGGTACTGTGTTCTTAGCCATGACACTGTTGTACAGTTTCCATTACAGATAAGCTGTCCCAGGCAGAGAATCACATCAGTCAAGGTGGGAAAGCTCTAGAATTGCACTTGGCAACTAAAAATACCAAGTGCATGCTAAATAGGCAAGGCGGGCTTTATTCAGCGTTGTGTTTGTTAAATATTTGATCTGGGAGAATGAAATGGCATCGTCTCTCTAGAGAACCAAAGCTGACAGGCGCAGAAATAAAGTTGATGAAAATAGCCCTAATTGTAATCATACTCAAATGTGTACAGTTTACAAAACCCTTCCATATATGTTAGCTTATTTAATCCTCTTATTTAAAGGCTGCTTGCCAGCCCTCCCTCAAATATGTCCTCACATTTTGTCCCAACAGCTGCATCCTTGAACCAGGTTTCATTATTGCTGGTCTGGACTTTCATGGCAATCCCAACCCCACCCTCCCTTGCCTCGCCACCTGTCCGTGCCACTTGAATGCTGCCTCCAGAGGTTCCTTCAATAATAATGATAATGGTAGTGAATATTAATTGAGCACTTGTTATGGGCCAGACACCCTGCTGAATGCTCAGCATGGATTACATCCTGTGTTTCCCTCTGTAATTCTGAGTTATGTCTTTTTATTACTAACTTCCCCATTTTATAGACAGAAAGCAAAAAGAAGGGAAGTTACACAACTTACCCAGGATTAACCTGGAGACGCAGGTCTGGGATCTAAACACGGAAGCTATACTCGCTAGCCTATTCCTACCCACAACAGCCCTGCTTCCCGCCAGAAACTAACCTGGTGTCAATTGCTGCTCTCCCTTCGATGCAACGAGTGCATCCAAGCCCTTGGCAGTGGAGTTCCTTATTCATCTGGATTTTCCTTTCTGCCTGACTTTATCACCTCTCTGACTCCATCAACCTTCCTGGCTTACCTGTCACTATGCCACACTTTCGCATGGCCTGTTTTTTCCCTGACCGCCATGCCTTCCTCACTAAATTCCTAGGCAACCATGAAGACCCTGCCCCGCAGTCCTACCTATTCTGAAGTCATGGGTGATATTTTTCCCCCTCCCTTCTCAGGACACTGCCAGAGTGCTCTTTCCCTACATAGACTTATCCTTATCATGTCCTATTATTTAGGACACTGGAGAAGACCATGGTCTGTTGTAGGGTAAGGTAAAAGTATCAGGCTTTTCTGCCCTCCCGCCATTAGGATGGATGAGGGAACCCTGTGGTCCTGAATGCATGCCTGATGGCGGCCACCTGGAGTGGGTACACCTGGGCTGAGAGACTGAGTTTATAAGGGCGGCGTCACGGGGACGCCAGCAGAAGCCAAGAACAAACAGAAGCCGAGAGAAGAAGAAGAGAAGCAGAGAGAACGCCAGAGAGAGCCCCGATAGAGTGAGGACTTGCTGTGGGCTGGGAGGCCTGCCAGCCTCCTGGCCCCCCAGCACCCCTGCCTGCCATGTGCCTGGTAAATCTAAATAAAAGACCTGCAAAAAACCACTGAGGACTCTGACTCCTCCTTCACCTGGTCTGCTGGATCAGAAAACCTGCTCAGTGCCCTGTTCCTGTCCCTACAACTGTGGATTCAGAACCTGTGGATTCTAATCCTCCCACTTCCTAGCTGTGTAGCCATGTTCAGGTGATTTCACCTTTCTGAGCCTTGGTGTCCACATCTGTAAAATGGGTCTGATATCAGGGTTATGTGCTCTTACAAAGCTATTCTGATGATGCAAGGAAATGAACTTTCTGAATTCCTGGAGAGAAGGTGAGAAAGGTTGCCAGACTCACCTGGCTCCCACCTCAACCTTTTCCTCCCAGGTGCGGCCATAGAGCTAAGTAAGGATGCTGCTACATTTACCCGAGAAGTAGCAGAGGGCCAGGTGCCTGTAAGGAGTCCTACAAGGGCATAGATTGTGTAGGTTCTGTTGAAAGGAGAGATAAGCGCCATATAAACAGGTGTACATGACTAAGAAACAAGCTCCTCTGGGACTTAACAAATCCCACTGAGCAAGTGGGGTTGGGGGCGTGGGGCAGGTTCCCTCCCAGCCAATCCACAGTCCACAAGGGAATCTACAGAAGGGTCACAGCGTTAATCGTGAGAATCACAGAGAATCTGGGACAAAATAAGTGCTTTATAAATGCTCCCTTTTTTTAATCACAAGAGCAGTGCAGACTTGTACTTTATCTTTTGCTTGAGGAATCTCCCCAAGGTCTCATTGGGTTGAGAAGTGGGGTCAACTCCTAAGCTACAAAAGGAAGTTTGCTGAGGCAAAGGGTCCTGCTGGGACCAATGTAAAATGTATGTGTGTGGATAGACACACACACACACACAGCCACTTCACCCCATCACCACCAAGCCATCACCCATGATGCATGCCCTTCTTTGCTTTGACCTCCCTCAGCTCAGTTCGTCTTTCCTCCATCTTGCTCTCAGCCACACACCCTGCACCCTCTCTTCCCCTCTCTTTTTCTGCATGTGCCAGTTGCTTCAGGAAAATCTCACATCCTTTCCAAATGCCCTGCCATCGTTCTAGATGGCAGTCTCCTTCCCTTCCATTTTTTTTTAAGATTTATTTATGCATACAAGAGCTGGGGTACAGGCCAGAGATGTGGGGGGTGAGAGGATTCACTAGAGACAGAGTGGGGAGCAAAACAGGTAGATTGACCGAAGTACACTGCTGAGGGGAGCAGCGGGCAAGACAGGAGAGGTCTGCTGCATTGTGTGGGTAGCTCCCTGGCCAGCTGGGGATCAAACTCGTGCTGCAGAGGCTGTGGATTGCTTCATAGTGTGGTGCTTAACCCCTTGCACCACCAGGGAGGCCCCTTCCCTTCCATTTTGGAGCCCTTCCATCTCCAGCCAACGCCAGGGACTCAGAGTCCACTGGGCCTCTATTGAGGGGAGATATCGCTGCCTCCAGTAAAGCAGGAGAGATACCATCTGGCAGCTGCCCTTCTGCCCACCAGGATATTCTCAGTAGGAGTGAAATCAAAACCCTCTTTCTGGAGCGGGGCTTGAAGGCTGTGCCTGGGTGCTCTCTCCCCCTGAGCCTCTGGATCTTGCAGGGGTGAGGTCCTCTGCCTAGAATTCTTATTCTCTTACCTCTTCTTTGTTTACCTTACTCCTCCAACTTCAAGACCCTCCCTAGACATCACCACCTCCAAGAAGCCTTCTCTGATTCCCAGGATGAGTTAGGTGCCTCCTCTGTACTCCCACAACTGTCTCTCCCTGGTAGACCATTCAGTATATTGAATCATAATTGCCTGACTGTGACTTCATGAAGCCACACTCATTCACCACATTATTTCTATGACTTGGCACTTAAGAGACCTTCAATTGATTGATTGTTCTTAAATGAATGATAAAAACCATGCTATCTTCCCCCAGTGCAATCAGATTTGTGTGATTCTGGATGATTTGCAAGAAACTTCCCCAGAGGCAGTCCCTGCCCCAGAGGTAGCCAATGCAGACTGTTGTCCACTCAAGGTTTTCTGGCTCACAGTTTGTAAGTCCCCACCATGAAGATGGAAGACATGGCTGGGAATCCAAATTTCCCTATCCACCATAGGCCCCAGCTGCTCAATTAGTCTTATCCCCTAAGGATTAACCAGAGTCACATGCTCAGAGACACCCACGAGCCCATGAGTGAAACCTTTATGGGTTTGGACAGGGACTGGGTGAGGGGCCTAAGGGGACCCATGAGCTGTTGCCCTTCTCTCTCTCTTTTTACTCTTTTTGAAAAAAGTGTTTCCCTCCATAGATGATAAGAGTAGCCAGGCCCTTCCTTCCCCGGTTTGAGGGTAACCAGGGAAATGACACCCATGGCCTTCTTCCTGCCAGGGTCATCAGGAGGCCTCCAGATTATGGTTTTCCTCTTATAAACTCTCAGGCCACCCACAGTCATAGACCATGGGGGTCAAGTCTATTATAAACATACACAGTTTCTGCTTATTGTTATCCAAACACTGCCTTTTCTTTACCTGAGAGTCATGATAGAACTTGTATTGTTGCAGAAATAAATTCTAGCCTTTTACCCAGACAAGGGAAGAACAAGCGGTACTTCAGGAACGGTGAGGTCAGGAGAAGCTTTACGACTCATGCATGAGGCCCCAGACCTGGGCAGTCCCATAAGGTCTGGGCACCAGTCTAGAGGCAAACGCTTTCTTTTACACACAACCATCTTACACTAGTAACACTGGTTAGCAAGTACAACTATTTGCTGGAAAACTCCTCTACACAGGAGGAAAAATGGACATTTGGGGATGTCCTTTGAGAGATAAATCAGCTTGCCGGCTGTCCAAACTTGTTAAAATGTAACCTCATTTACTTTATTATAACTAGTTTTTTCCTGGTCCCTTATTTAGGTTTTCTAGATTCCTGCTATGAGTGAGACCATCTGGTATTTTTCTTTTTCTTTCTGGCTTATTTTGCTGAGCATGATCCCTTCCAGCTCCATCTATGTTGCTGCAAATTGCATGAGTTTATCTTTTTTGATTGCTGAGTAATATTCCATTGTGTATATGCACCAATGATGTAAAAAACATAAAATAAAAAAATAAATCCAATAAGTTGAAAAAAAAAGTAACCTTATTTAGATAAGCTAAAACTTAGATGGAAAGCTCTCTAAAGAAACGTTTATCAAGTAAGCAAATTTGTTATTTAAATTGCATTGGATTATTTACTGCACCAGGCCTAAGACCCTTTAGCAGGAAAGATTTATTTGCTTAACAGTTCCTTTTCAGTGTTTTCTAAAATGGAGCTAGATGGATAGATAGATAGATGATTGATAGATAGACAGATAGATAGATCCATGTGTTGGATCCATAAATATCTTTAGTCTCAGGCACTCTTCTTAAAATGTGGCTGACCCTCCTTCGGTGTTCCCTCCCTGAGTCTTGGCAGGGACTGGTGACTGTTTCAATCAATAGAGTGTAATGGCAGGAATGCTATGGACTACTAAGATCATAAAAAGGATAGCAATTGCTCCTGATTTCTCCTCTCGTCTCTTCTCGCCTGTCCTCTCTTCTCCTTCCCTTCATTTCTTTCCCCTTACCTTCCCCTCCTCCCCTCTCTCCACCTTTGGAACTCAGCCATCGTGCTACGAGGACGCAAACCAGGCCGTGCTGAGAGACCACATAGAGAGGAACCATGCAGACAAGAACTGAGACTATAACCAATGGTCCACATCAACTTTTGGACGGGGGATAGATGAGACGTCAGATGGTTCCAGCCCCAGCCTGCCGGCCTTCCAGCTGAGACCCCAGGCCTCAGGGAGCACAGACAAGCCCTCCCTGCCGTGCTCTGGTCTGAATTTCTGCCCCCGGAACCTGAGCATATAAATGTTGGTTTTACATCACTGAGTTCTGGGGTAATTTGCATGCAGTCATGTTCTGCAACAAAAATGCATGGGGGCTCAAAGATGTTGTGGATGCACAGAAATTGGTCCCAGAAGCCATCAACCTCCCATTTCTCTATAAGCAAGGCCTTCAACATCAGAACTCATGGGCTAAATAGGAATAGTAAAAAAAAAAAAAGTGACCTCCTCAAAGGATCATGATGATTAACAACTCCTAGACTCAGAGAAACTGCCCATGAAATGATCAAGCAGAGACGTACCAGCATCCAGGTGTGTAAAACACCTGGCACGTAATACACACATATCAAAATTCTCTCCAGTGAGGACTGTAATAATAATGAGGACTTACTGAGCACCCATCATGGATCAGGAGCTTCACCTGCACCGGTAGATGAAGCTAAGAGGCATCTTCACCACACTCCTTCACATAGGCATTATCGACTCCATTTCACAGATGACAAGATTAAGACTCAAAGGGTTATAACTTGCTCATGCCCAGTGTCAGAAGGTGATGGGGGATAGATGAGACTTCAGATGGTTCAGCCCCAGCCTTCAGGCTTTCCAGCGGAGACCCCAGGCATCATGGAGCAGAGACAAGCCCTCTAGCTGAGACCACAGGCATCATGGAGCAGAGACAAGCCCTCTAGCTGAGACCACAGGCATCATGGAGCAGAGACAAGCCCTCTAGCTGAGACCACAGGCATCATGGAGCAGAGACAAGCCCTCTAGCTGAGACCCCAGGCATCATGGAGCAGAGACAAGCCCTCTAGCTGAGACCACAGGCATCATGGAGCAGAGACAAGCCCTCTAGCTGAGACCCCAGGCATCATGGCAGAGCCCACATCTGCCCTCCCAGCTCTAATGACTTCTTGTGGTACATGTTTCTTTTCCCCATATCATCCCTTCCTGCTTTTCCCCATCCCAAGAGTACAAATGACAATTTCAGTGTCATTTGTCATTTCATCTACCACCATGGATGCACCGGGCACTAGCCAGGTTGTGGTTATTGCCTTCCAAGTTGGATGGCCCTTGTTCTGATCTCTCATCCACTACCTATAAGCTACACAACCTTGGGTGAGATGCCGCCTCACCTCCTCAATCTTCAACTTATTGGTAAAATGGGACTAAAATACTCCCTGCTGTATCCGAAAAAACAAGGTATGTAAGGGACCTAGAATGGCTGCCATTAAATATTAGGTACTCTGTCCAACCTAGTTTTCCTCTCTTAATTCCCTTTCAAAGCACCCCCTTTCAAAAAGGACTTCAACATATAAATTTAGGGTGACACAGTTCAAACTGTATTTGATCCAACTTAGTTTTCCTCTCTTAATTCCCATTCAAAGCGCTCCCTTTCAAAAAGGTGTTCAATAATAAAACTAACAGCTTACACTAGTTAGCTCGCCATGTAGAGGCAGGGTTTCAGGGCTCTACATAGATTGGATTCAGTCCTCATAACACCACCGTGAGGTCTTGATGCCATCATTATCTTTACAGATGAGAAAATAGAGGCACAGATTGGAGAAGATGTTGTATTAGTGTCCTAGGGCTAGAGTAACAAAACACAAGCAAGGATTAGAGCAGAAATAATCTTACAGTTCTGAAGGCTGGAAATCATACAGTTAATAAGCAGTGGAGGCAGGTTTCTAGCCCCATCAGGATGCATCTAGTCCGTGCGCTTGATCGTGCTGCTGAAAATGGAGTAAAGTGTCAGCAGCGTTGGTTCCTTCAGAGGATTTGAAACACAGTCTGTCCCATGCCTCTCCCCTAGCTGCTGTGGGGTGCTGCAATCTTGGGCACCCCTTTGCTTGTGGAAGCATCTGTCTTTCTCTTCATATGGCGTTCTCGTGTGTGTGTGTGCACAGATTTCCTTTTTTTCTATTTTTTTATTATTTACATAATTTTTTCATCATTGTTGTAAGGGCAGGAATGACACAGGGCAGGTTTTCTGATCCAGCAGACCGGGTAAAGGAGGAGTCCTGGAGCCCTCAGTGGCTTTTGCAGGCTTTTATTGGGATTTACCCAGTACATAGCAGGCAGGGGTGTTGGGGGGCCGGTAGGCTGGCAGTCCTCCCAGCCCCCAGCAAGTCTTCACTCTTTCTGGGCTCTCTCTGGCGTTCTCTCTGCTTCTCTGCTCTCCTGCTTCTCCATTCCTTCTCCTTCTCCGCTTCTCCTGGCATCCCCGTGACGCCGCCCAGTCTTAAAAGCTGCATCCCCTTAAAAGCCCAGTCTTAGCCCAGGTGAATCCCATCTACATAGGCCCACACCCTATTCCAGGTGGCCGCCATCAGGCATGCATTCAGGACCACAGGGTTCCGTCATCTATCCTAATGGCGGGAGGGCAGAAAAGCCTGATACTTTTTACCTTACTCTACAATTGTTCATTCTCCTCAGCTGTAACACAGATTTCCATTTTTTGCTAAGGACACCAATCACATTGAATTAAGATTCCTCCGACTTCAGCATGATTTCTCCTTAACTAACTACATCTGCAATGATCCTATTTCAAATAATGATGAGGGTTAGGACTTCAACATATAAATTTAGGGTGCCACAGTTCAACCTGTAAGAGTTGTCTCATCCATGATCATACAGTTAATAAGCAGTGGAGGCAGGTTTCTAGCCCCATCAGGATGCATCTAGTCCGTGCGCTTGACCGTGCTGCTGAAAATGGAGTAAATGGATGGGACAAAGGGTGCCTGGGAGGAAGCTATAGCTTGCAAGCCCTGTTGTGCTGCCTTGGAAGCTCCCTGGCTCCCCAAGACCAGCTGCCTTCCTGGTGGTGACTCAGAGGCAGCCAGGAACACTGGGGGTGGCTTCTCCAACAACTCCACCCGAGCACAAGAACTGTTCGTTTGCTAAAGTAATTA